ACATCTTGACCGGTCTTTTTTTGCCAGAGTTGTTTAACTTCTCCAGTGCATAAGCGACGATTTTTTCCTTTATCGTTAGTGACAACTCGCTTAAGCCGCTTTCGCTGTAAACCTTTAATTAAGGGCGGTCAACCAGAACGAAGCTTAGAATTAATGGTTCCAGTGTCATCCATCCTCTTTAAAGTATCAAAAACTGTTGACAATCTACAACTGATAGTCACGGCAATAGTTCGGTAACTATCGCCGCGTTATCGGCAAAAAATTATGCCTCCGCGTTGTTCTGTTGTTAATTCCTTGGACATTTTCGTTGTTTTGGGAAGACAAAATTTATTTTGATTAAAAATCAAAATAAACAAACCAAACACACATTTATTTGGTTTGATTCAAGTAAACAAAGGTCCAAACATCACATGACTGAAGTATTATGCAGTCACACAACGTAATCAGTATGAAATAGCCCCTGAAAGATGGCATTCGGAGACTTTTGGCAGGGGTCTATATAATAAGCAAAAAATAAAAAAATATGTAAAATAATAAAAATATAATCTATTTTCCTCCTAAAATCCCCTTAAATTGTCCTAAATATTCATTATCATAATATTGTTATTTTTTTAAAAAAAATGAATAAATTAATAAAATATGATCTATTTTTCTTTTAAAAATCCTTCAAAATCATCTAAATGTAAAAAATAATAAATCTACCTTTTTTTATTAAATCATTTGAAATTATCTTTTTTTACTATAAAAGTAAAAAAATCAGCTTATTATTTAAAAAGTTGACTAAAGTTTCATTCGATTTTGATAGTTAAAGGCATGTTTTTATTATAAAAGTAAAAAAATCAGTTTATATTTTATATATTTTTGAGAAATTGACTAAAATTTAACTTCAGTTTCATCCAATTTTGGTAGTTAAAGGTATATTTCTATTATAAAAAATAAAATATCAGAAAAATTGACTAAAATTTAACTTGAGTTTTATCTGATTTTGATGGTTGAAAATAGTATTGTTATAGGATATTGATAGGACACTGATGAGACACTGATAGAATATAGATAGGACAGATAGGAGAACATTTAGCATATAGTATGAAATAGGTTGGAACATATAACTAGAATAACAAATCTCTGAGATATCAAAAATGAACATTACTGGTTAAATTATAAAAGTAAAAAAATCAGTTTATAACTTTAAAAAGTTGACTAAAATTCAATTTAAGTTTTTTTTGTTCTTAGAATGATTTTTTTTTTTGATATTTTGATGACATGTAAAAAAAGAAAATTTGGAAATGATTGTATAAAGATAAAGTTTGAGTTGAAATTATTTTTTAAAAAATGAAAAAATTAAGTTTAATTATATAAATATTCTTATATATATCAGAAATAAACTCAAATAGTACATTAAATTAATATCAATAAATCATCCTTTTAATTTAGCAAGTTCTTCAAATATTTAATATTATTTTAGCAAATCAGTTTAATCTAAAAATTCAGTTCATTAGAATAATAAAATCATTGTACTTAAAGAATGATAAAATTATTATTTCTTAGGAATGATAAACAATTATATTTAAGGAATGATAAAATTATTATTCCTTAAGTACAATAATACCTTCGTACTTAAGAAATGATAAACCATCATTCTTTAAGTATAATAAAATTATTGTTCCTTAGATACAATAAAATATTGTACTTAAAGAATGATAAAATTATTGTTTCTTAGAAATAATAATATCATTGTACTTAAGAAATGATAAAATATCATACCTAAAGTATAATGGTAATATTATTCTTTAGATACAGTAGCGGTCATAAGTATCTGACCACTTGAGATTGTCTAAAATTATTATATAACTACCTCTTAAATTTTCTAGGAATATAATGTAACACAATACATGATTACCGGTAAATTTATAAATGTCAATGATACAAAAAAAAATTTAGATGATCATCAAACTTTCGCTTAAAAAATGGAGCTTTCTTTAGAAAAACATTATGAAATTGTCTTTTACGCGAGCATCCAGCTGGTCTAAAGTTTAGTTTTGAATTTATTGTTAAATAGGTACATTGTAGTAAGTTTACAGCTATTTATTAGGTTAAAAAATATCATGAAAATCGGGACCTAAGTATTTTAGAAAGATCAGGGTGGTCTTGTATAACTACTGTGAAACAAGGTGATAAGATTGTAAAGATGGTAGAGAAAGAACATAATATAATAACCATTCAAATACAAGAAAAAATGGAAGAAAGAGGTGTTGAGCTTAGTGTAGAAACAGTAAGGTGATGTCTTTGTAAGTCTGGAGAAAAGTTTAGTAATGAAATTTCTAAACCTTTGCTTAAAGAAGACCATTGAAAGAAAAGGTTACAATTGGCAAAAAAACATAAGAATTTTGATTGGAATTGAGTTGTTTTTACAGATAAGAGTACATTTCAATTATATACATCAAAAAAAAAGGTTTGGCAGTTTCCTGGTAGAAAAAAAGTGGTTTGTTCTGTTAAGTATCTACCAAAAGTTTATGTTTGGGGATGTTTTTCTGCTTCTGGATTTGGTAAGTTATTTTGCTTTCAGAGGAACCTTAATGCTGAATTTATGTGTACTATTTAGCAGGATCTTCTGGCTTTCACCTCTAAACTTTTTGGTGAAGGTAACATAGATTGGATCTTGCAAAAAGATAATGATCTAAAGCATCAATCAAAAATCACAAAAAAATGGAAGGAAGAAAATGGCATTGAGGTACTTTCTTGGCCATCAATGTCTTTAGACTAAAACCCTATAGAAAACGTTTGGAGATTAATGAAAATTAATATACAAAAAAAAAATTCAATCAATTAGAGGGGTGGATCTCATAATGCTTCTCCTGATGTTGCACCACAGCAAACCAACCTTTGATTTCCTCATCACCACAAATTTCACTCTCTGATTCCACCTGCGCGTACCGAATCAACTAATATTTTCCTTAAACGTTATAATAGCTGACGAGGTGAAGTAAAATGTACCTTTTTAACAACCGTACCCCTTGCGACATTAATAACCAACATATTATGTTGCTTCCCTGCCGCCAAGATTTCTGAATCTGGCATGGTTGTGTAAGTCATACAACGTAAATCAGTAGTATCCTCATTGCTATTTAATTGACCGACCGATAGGGGTTAAATCAAAAAAATTTATTAGTTACTCAAAAAAGTTCTTAACTATTTGAAAGGGGTGACACACCTCAAAGTCCATCTGACCAATCTCTTCGATTAGCTGAACTCAACGAAATCACATCTCTATCGTTAACTAAAATTTGTATAACTGGTGCTAAGTGTGCTCGAAAGCTTGTATAATGATGTAATCCACTTCCAAAAAGTGAAGCAATTCGACCCTTCATTTACGAATATTAGCATTGATCATTAGTTGTTTACATTCGAGATAATCATTTATAGATAAATTAAATACCTTATCATTTCCGGTCCATAATAATTCTTGATTTGGATCAAATGCTATTGCCGATATTGAAGAGGCGACATTTAAATTGGCATCACAGGTAGTTCGAACTTCAAACCATCCATCCATTATTTATATGATTTTTTATTTTATAAAAGTCCAAAGATTTTATCCATATTAAATACAAATCGATTACAATGATTAAAACTACACATTTAACTTTTTAAACTGATTAATTATTTATATCAAACTAGGGTGTAAATTTTTCTGTCTGTTGTACGATAATCTGCATTGTTTCTGCGCATTTATCGAGTCCTTTTTGATTTCGACCCTATTTTATATTGGTTTTATGTATTTTTTTATTTTTAAAGTTAATGTAGCTTAATGTCAACAATTGATAAATCATACGGATATTAGTGAAAAGTAATAGATAAATAAATAAATTAATTAAATATAATTAAATATGAACCAGAGGAAACGAAACATTTTAAATCACGTTGTATTTAAAGGAATTAACAGTTAAAATTTCACAATATTATTTTATTAATAACTGGATGTTTATTGGTAAAAATCTGTGAAGAAACGTAAAAAAAATTTTTTGCTATGTTATTTATTCAAAGAAGGATTTTTTTATTTTTTTTTAAAAAAAAAAGACATCTGAACGCTAACAAATTATAACGAAACAAAGGTTAACTCTGGCTCAAATTTTTTGAAATGAAATTGTATCAAAAATCATCCAGACCGATGACAAGGCGGCTTTTTTTTTATTAATAAATGATTTTCTCTTTTATTCTTTAAAGAATGACAACGTTTAAGTCAAGTATCGAGAAAATAAAGTTTTTGATGTATCGTAATTTACGTCATTTCAAACATTTCATCATGATGTCGGTACAGCGCCAAATAAAAATGCCCGAAACTTAAGAAACGGCGACCGGAACGTTTGGATGAAATGATTGAAGGGTGGTTTGGTCACGAAATATGGTATCAAGATCGGCAAAAATTAATGAGAATATCTTCGCCGTGATTAGATCTTGCTAAACTAAATAATAAAATTCTTTTATTTCTTGTATTAAATCCCGTGATATTCAGATTAAATAAA